AATGGAAATTTCACAAACAAATCCGTAAACAATAAAAGGAAAAATTAAGAAATACAAGTAGAAATATTTAGTGACAAAATAACTAATCAAACTGATATAAATACAAGTAAAATAATAAAAGGTAAAAACAATAAAATCTGACAAAACGGATAAAAAGTATGCAAAACATGTATGCAAAACATGTATGCAAACAATAGTTACTATAACCAAAACACTGGAAAAAGTGCATAAAAATTACATAATGTAAAAGTGTAACCGGGCATTTGGACAGTAGTGTATCGATTACTAAGTGTATAATTGGTAGAAAACTAGAGACTAAAAAAGGTCTGAAGCGGGTCATTAGACATTATGCGATTAATGACACATATCTGCATCGGTTTAACTCCTCAATGGTTCCACGTCTGAATCACATATAATATGACTAATGACTATACACCATCAATGATTACCTGCACAGATAACAATTTACCATAAGGCATTCAGATTTCAGAACATATAGATTATTCATCATAAATTCATGACAATAACTCAAAAGAGTTAAGGTTCACTCTTGAATTAATGCTAAACTAAGTTAAAGTTTATTATCTATGCAATAAAGTCTTTTTAGAACGTAAGAAGTAAATGATTTGTGTAATTTAATGTCAATAAACATTTATATTTTGGACTCACTTCACATCGTTTGTAAACTGTGTCACTAGTGTGTTCGGTATTTAATATCGTTTGTTATATATTTTACAAAATTGAGTACTAGTTATCAAATAAAGATAATTAAACATTACAAAACTAAGAATTTTTATATAATAAGTATCATAAATCTTAAACAATGAGTTGTTCTATTGTTTATTTATTTAAGTTATGTAAATTATCTTAGGTGTTTCTTCTTTTAAATCTCCAAGTAAGTATTACGTACATTATGTAAGACTATAAATCAATTTTAAAAACTAAAAGTTAATGGGGGTGAATCTAATCAAAGTATGAAAATTTTAGGAAAATATTACATACTAAAAGTTAAGGGGGACGAAGTATATTGTAGAAAATTTTGAAAATCCAAGGAAAGCGGTCGCCCCCGCGCCCCCCTTAAATCCATCACTCCCTTGAAGTTACAGTAGAAATTGCCTTTTTTTATATGAAGACACTAGAAGTAATAGAGAACATCAGCCTTTCATATTTTTATTATTTCATAAGGAGTATGTTTTTTTTTGAAGTTAGTCTTTTGCTTGCAAAAAAAAAGTTAGTGTTTCAATTTGTATTTTTATTTGCCATGGAATAGAATACGACACATGTATTGACCGTTTCAAATATTTGCAGTACATTCGGAGTTTAACACCGCAAGTGCGGCACAGATATACGTCCATTCAGTGGCAAGTTGGCAACACCAATCGCACCAATATAAAACCCAGAAGTTGAACCATTCAATTACTAACAGCCAAATGCACACATTTTTCTTTCATAACCCTTTTATACAAAAAATATTTTTGAAATCTGTACACAAATTTTTTTACACTAAAAATATAAACGTATTTAAAATTTGGGCTGGGTCAAAGCCAAGGCTGGCCCTCCCCTAGCTACGCCTCTGACTGTAGTTACTTTTCTGATTGTGTTGGTTGAAGTTACTGTAGAAGACCATTTTACCTATTTTTTTATATATTTTTTTTCTTTATTTTATTAATAAAATACTTTTTAAATATAATTTTTCATAAATCAACTGTAAATTTCATCTAGAATTTCATAAATTTCACCAGAATCATCAAATTCACCCGATTTGGATATTACTAAACGGGCCCTCAGTCTTGCTCAAGTAAATTGAATTATATTCTAAAAGTAAAAGTAAAACAAAGGTTAATTTATTAAGTAGGATTATAATACGTAGTATTTTTAAAAGTGAAATTATAGTAATATACGTTTACTTGTTAAACTTGAGTTACTATGACATTACATTGTAGTAACTATTGGTCACATTTGTGAAATAGTTCTATTTTAGTAATATTTATGTAAAAAATCCTTTTCAAAATAATTATATAAAGAATCTATATTGTGATTTAGAAATCATAATATCACATTATGACATTAAAATGACAGTATTAATGAACATCATAATATAACATTATTTTTTGGGCATTTTATTCAATCACAAATAAAAAGTCTTATTTTTGGAATTTTAAACATTACATCCTAATGTAGTTATGTAGAGATCATTTAAATATTATTAGAAAGAATGACAAGAATAATACCCTCAGTTTCTCCTTGGACAAAAATAAGACCAAATCTAAAATTAGACAAAAAAAACTCACTAATTATTAATATATGGACCCCTATGCCCTTAATCCTATCAACTCTTCCGTTTCTTTTTGGCCAATCGCACAACATCTACTCATCTCCATCATCGTTCGTTTCTTCTTCAGCAATGGGGTCACCGCCGCTGCCGTCTCTAAGCTGACGCCACGCCCCTCCGCCTTCATCTCCGACACTACCTTCATTTTAATCTTCTCTTCTTCTATTCCCTTTGTCCGATCGCGGCCTACCTAGGATTTGCGGCTATGGCGAAGACACGGCCGTGTGACTAGGGCTTCGATGCAGCGGCGCGAATCAGACCAAGGAGAGCCGGGTAGGGCGCGATGTGGCTAGGGAGGCAAGGCAGAGGTTCATTTCGCTGCTCTTCTCTGTCGTTGGCCCATTGCAAGTGTGCGAGGAGCAGGAGCAGGGTGTGGGGTGGGGGTGCAGTGGTTTTGGGAGGGAGATGGGGATCGGAAGGGCTGGGAGGGGGCTGGGGAAGTTGGTGGATCAGGTCAGGGAATATGGTCGGGGCTGGGGAGGGGCTGGGGCTGGGGAGGGGCTGGGGATAGTGGTGGTCGCCGGCAGTGGCCCGAGGTGGTGGTCGGAGGTGGTGATCGGCTGTTGTCGTTAAATATAAATAGTCAAATTTGGTAAGCATAATTAGTGGGTTGGGTAAGTGGTAACTGTTATTGACCAATTGTGTAACTGTAACTGACGGATCGAGTAACTGTAATTGAATGATAAATTATTGCAATTGATGGATTTAGTAATTGTAACTGACGGGCTGAGTAATTGTAACTGATGAGTCAGGTAACTGTAACTGGCGGGTCATGTAAGTATATCTGATCGACTAACTGCGATAGTAACTGAGATGTCAGTCACTTAGGCGGTAGTAACTGAGATGGTGGTCACTGAGACCATGATCATTGGAGTGATGGTAACTGGGACGACAGTCACTTAAGTAGTGGTAACTGAGATGATTGTCACTGGAGTGGTAATAACAAAAGCGGTAAAACCCGAGATGGTGGTCACTGAAACGATAGTAATTGAAACGATAATCACTAGAGCACTAGTAATTGGGACAAATTTTTTAGAACTCTTAGAGTTTTAGTGGAATATTTAAATATTTATTTTGAGATATATGTATTATAATATTAAAAGAAAAAGGAAAATTAAATGTTAGTGTCCAAGGTAGAGGCTTAAAGCCGTGAAGTGGTACATAGTGGGCCGGTGGTGCAAGTGTGCAAGAGACTCCAATGTTAAGGAGCAAAGATATGCGCGTATAACATTGACGGTTAAACGGGAAGGGTAATTCAGGAAAGTAGAAGTTTATTAGTCACATTTTTGGAAGTTTAAAAAAGGAGTCTCTTTTTTGTCCATTACCATTTAAGTAATATTCATGTCAAAGCCCCATATTATTATTAGCACTTTTATCTCTCGTTTCTAGTACCTTAAATTACGTATGACAATTAAGGATTACTTGCTTAAGGACTTTCTTACGTTATGCGTTATGCATCTCATTTCTACAAAAAATCCTAAGATTTCACAAGCCCCATATTGTAGAAGAGGTCACTCGTCCTTCATGGTCTTCATATATACTCCGTATTGAATACTCTTTTTGAGTGTCTCTGTTTTTTCTTCTATGGTTGTGCAATTCCGCCAACCCAATCACCTTCAACCAAACTCTCAGAGATGGTGATTTATTACTCTCTGATGCCAACTCATATGCCCTCGGATTCTTTACCCCCGGAAAGTCCACCGGCAAACGGTACCTCGGTATTTGGCATTGGCGGAGGAGGGGGGGGCCACCCTGGGCCATGGCCCAGTGCAAGTCGGCCTAGTCTCCATTAGGAATAGTAAAAAAAAAATATTTTTAAGTAATGGCCCAGTGTATAAAAAAATTGGCCCAGTATCATTAAAACCTCCAGCCCAAAATCCAAATCTTATTCAGCCAACCAGCCAACTGGAAGAACCGAAGAAGTGCTGCGTAACCTGCGTTTAATCGGCCAGGGACTACGGCTGAAAAGCGGCTGTCCAGAGAAGAAGGAATTCGCCGTAGCAACACGAGGCGCTGGAGCCGAAAGGTAGGAACGACCGCCGTCTTCCGTCTAGGCAACTGGGATTCCGCCTGCTCTCCGCCTTCTCCGCGCAAAATCTGCAATTTTTAGGTATTTTTCTTACCCTAATTTCTTATATTAATAAATTACTAATTTGTAATTAGTTCCTTATTTGGGCTATTGTGTATTTGTGAATGGCTATTTGTGAATTTCTACCAGTAAGGCAGTAACTACCTCCGTATGAATGTATGATTTATGACTGAATTGGGCTCTTATATAAAAAATAATAATTTACTAATTTTTAATTAGTTCGTAGTTACTAATTTGTAATTAGTTGGATTTGGGAATTGGGATATTGTTTATTAGTAAATTGTTAATTGTGTTCCTAAATCAGTAATTCGTAATTTACTAGCTATTATTTACTAAAGTATTACATATTTTGACGTTATAGAAAATAATGACCACTCCACAACAACCTCCCAAGAAAGCCAAAGTAGGCAAATCAACTCTACATTCTTATTTTACCTCCAATGCTCCAACTACAAGTGTACAAACTGAGAACCCGATTTCGAATGAGCATGAAGAATCTTCTAATGTTCAAAATCAAGCATCTTCTTCTGTGATTGAAATAGAACGGGATCCTGGTAAAAGAAGAAAAATATGTGATTAGCCTGTTAATAATAGAGATGAAGTTAGGCGGTTATATTTGGTTGCTGGGCCTTACCAACCAAAACTTCAGCGCTATCAAGGTCGAGAATATAAAGACAAAATTCGACGTTTTCAACCAAATTGGTTCAATGAATTTAATTGGTTGGAATATTCTCCGACAACGCACAAAGCATATTGCTTTCCGTGCTTTCTATTTTGTGATAACATCCATGCCTCCAATACCTCTGCATTAGTCCATATTGGATTTGATAGCTGGAAGAGAGTTCATCAAGGCAAAGAATGTGTATTTTTTCTTCACACAGGTACATCACCTTATTCTTATCATAATAAATGTGTGACGTATGCTACTTCCCTAATGACTCCAGCTCAGCATATTGATAAAGTGATTGAGAGAGTTAGCAAAGAAGAAGTTGTAAAAAACCGTTTAAGATTAAAGACATCAATCATGACTGTGCAGTGGCTAGCGTTACAGGGTTGTGCTTTTAGAGGTCATGACGAGTCTGAAAAATCTTTGAACCGTGAAAATATGATAGAACTGATTACTTACACAGCAAAGTGGAATGAAGAAGTCAGAGATGTTGTATTGGGTAATACTCCCAAAAATGCCAAATACACTTCACCTGATATCCAGAAAGAAATTTTATCTTTAATGGCTAATACAGTTCGCCGTATGATACGTGAAGAAATAGGAGATTCGTGTTTTTGTCTTCTTGTTGATGAAGCAAAGGATGAATCTGACCGGGAGCAAATGGCCATAATTTTGAGATTTGTGAATGTTGTTGGTATTTTAACAGAACGTTTTTTTGTTATTAAAGGCGTTGCTGAAACTTCTTCAGAAACACTTAAGCATGAGATCTGTGATGTTCTTTCTCATTACAATCTTCAAGTCCATAAGTTACGAGGCCAGGGATATGACGGTGCTAGTAATATGCGTGGACAATGGAACGGATTGCAAGCACTATTTCTGAATGATTGTCCTTATGCATACTATGTGCATTGTTTTGCTCACAGGTTGCAATTGACATTGGTGGCTTCAGCAAAACAGTGTGATCCTATTTGGAGATTTTTTTCCATTTTGGATAAAGTGATTAACATTGTCAAATCTTCTGCTAAGCGCAACACAGAATTACAAGTTACTCATAGAGAAGAAATTGACATTCTGTTGGCAAGTGGGGAGCGTGAATCTGGACGAGGAGCCAATCAAATGTCCTCTTTACAACGTTCAGGTACAACTCGTTGGAGCTCTCATTATGATTCTGTTCTTAGTATGATAGAATTGTACAATGCTACTTGTAAGGTACTTGAGAATATTGCTTGTGATGGGCCGAACCCTAAGGCTCGAAACGAAGCAGATGGAGCTTGCACTAGCTTGAAGAGTTTAAATTTTGTCTTTGGCTTGCACGTAATGAAAGCTATTATGGCTATAACTGATTTTCTTTGTCAAGCATTTCAAAAGGAGTCGGTGGACATTTTATCAGCAATAGGATATGTTTCAACATCTAAAACCCTTCTTCAAAGTCTAAGGGATGATGGATGGGATAATCTGTTGAAACAAGTGGAAGAGTTTTGTTTAAAACATAACATCACTATCCCAGACATGAAGACCAAAATGCGGCGTGGGCGGAGTGAGGTAGATCTTGAACATTATTACCGCTTTGAATACTTTACCCAATCCATAGATTATCAAGTGGCGGAGTTGAATTCAAGATTTTGTGAGAAATCAGTTAGACTACTTGAGCTCAGTGTGGCATTGGATCCGAGAAACTCCTTTGAATCATTTAATGCTAATCATATTTATAATCTTGCAGTGGAGTTTTATCCTGATGATTTTGAGCAACACGAGAGAAATGCTTTAAAGAGTGAACTGACATTTTATCATATTCATGTGGCTCAGAACTCTCAATTCCAAGTTCCTACTCTTTCGCATTTATGTGAAATGTTGGTGAAAACAAGAAAGGCAGACGATTTCAAAATGTTGACAAGATTGATACGTCTTGTGTTAACATTACCGGTTTCCACGGCTACAACCGAGAGAGCATTTTTAGCAATGAAACATGTCAAGACGGCAATTCGCAACAAAATGGCTGATGAATTTCTTGCTGATAGTTTGACAATCTTCATTGAGAGGGAACTTGTCAGTACAATAGATATTGACTCTCTTATCGATGAGTTTGCTAAAGTAAAAGACCGTAGAGTGCAATTGACTTTTTAGTTTGAATGTTTGATGCACTAAATTTCTAGTAGTTTTGTTGTAAAAACATTTGTGATGCACTTGAACTGAATTTTATTACTACACTTATATTTAAGAATTTTTTTAGTTCAATTCCGGCCCAGCCCTTTATAGTGTCCTGGCTCCGCCCCTGGTATTTGGTACCAGAACATACCAGAACTAGTGGTTGTCTGGGTCGCTAACAGAGACAACCCGGTCAACGGAACATCCGGGGTTCTCTTCGACTCTTCATAGACGGCAACGGAAATCTTGTCATCCAGGACAGGAAAACCAATGTCTCCGTCTTGAACACCAGTCTTTCTTTTCCGGCGACGGGGTTACAAAGAGCTTATAATTACTCTGTTCAGCTCCAAGAAACAGGGAATCTCGTTTTGTATCACGACCCGGATAAACGGGTCACAGCATGGCAGAGCTTCGATTACCTGACCAATACATTCATGGCATGTATGAAATTTGGAGTGTTCAAGAAAGCCGGGTTGAACCAGTTTCTTACGTCGTGGAAGTCCCCGGACGATCCGGGCACCGGTGAGTACTCCGTCGGATTTGAGCTCAATGGGACGCCTGAGGTGTTCATGTACAAGAATTCGAGTCGGGTCTGGAGAGTCAGGTCATGGAACGGAGTCGGGTGGAGCAACATCCCGGAAATGTCGAGAAATTTCACCGCATACAATTACACCGAGAACGGAGATGAGGTCACGCTGTCCTACTCGGTTCGCGACCCGACGGTGTACACAATATTGGTGTTGAATGGGTCTGGGACGTTGAATCGGATCATATGGCAAGGAAATAATGAAATGGGTCGGGTTATGGTACGTGCCCAAAGACAACTGCGACGCATTTGACCAATGTGGCGCGTTCGGCATTTGCAATCCTTACAACCTCGACGGGTTTGACTGCCAATGCCTTGCCGGGTTTAAGTCAAACACGTCCGCCCAAGAATGGGCCTTGAAAGACGTCCGGCATAGTTGTCGGAGGGAAGCCAACACGGACGCCTGCCGGAACGGTGACGGATTCCTCAAGCTCACAAACGTTAACATCCCCGATAGTGAAACGGCGTTCTCGGACAGGGTGATGGGATTCAAGGAATGCGAGGAGCGTTGTGTTAAGAATTGTTCTTGCACTGGATACACGAGAGCAAATATTAGCGACGGAGGGGAGGGCTGCATCAATTGGTACGGAGAGTTGAGAGATATGAGGGAGTTCGCTAATGGTGGTAGAGATATGTACATATGTGTCTCCTCCGCATCAGGTATGTTGATAATTACGTATTTCATTCCGTTAAAAATGTCCCATTTTTTTTTCCGACCAAATTTAATAATGTTAGGGTGATTGTAAGTTGTTTTTACATTATTTTTACACTATTACTGAATATTTTCCTCTTTTATTAGTCTACTAATCTTTATTGGGTGTTTTCAGAGCAAAGTGTAAAGAAACCGAAAGCGCTTCGCGGGAAACGCTCATAATATCAGCCACGGCTGTACCTATTGCTGGAGTTATTCTTTTGGTTCTTTGTTTAACAAGGAAAATAAAAAAAGGTACGTCTGCAACATGATGTTATTAATTGTAAAAGTTTTTCATAAATCTAAATAAAGTTAGATAGATTCTATGGTACCCATAAAGTACTATACTTTTGTCCACATGAATCAATAAAAACGTTGCAGTTGAATTATTTAAGCCTAAATTAAAAATGATATACCTATTTGAACCAATCAAGTGAATGATAGGTATGTACCCCCTATTTTTTAAATGGGTACCGGAGTTCTCACCTTAAAGTTATTATAAGTATAACGCTATCATCACTAATATTCAATGTAATCATAGCCTAAGACTCTAAGTAATATAGTTATATACTACTATTACATTTAGGAAGTTTTTGTTTTATTTAAAGAAATTATCCAAAATAGGATCACAATGAAAATGTTGTAAATTCTAAATAGAATTACTTTGACTTTTATTGTCTTAATGTGGTAACTTGTCATTATTATTCTTTAAATACGACAATTTTAAATAAATTGGGAAAGTTCCTGAAATAGGACTAAAACAGTTTCAAAATTTCAAAATAGGACTGTCATGTTTTTTATTCCCAAAATAGGACTAATTACTGCCATGTTTAAAAAATATTGTCATGTTTGAAGTCTGATACTGCCAAAACATGACAGTAATAGTCCTATTTTGGGAATAAAAACATGACAGTCATATTTTAGAATTTTCAAACTGTTTTAGGCCTATTTCTGGTAATATCTCTTTTAAATTTAATAGTGATAATTCTTATTTAAAGAATAAAAACATCATATAACTACTAACGCATATCGACCCGCACCATCCCACCTAGTGGGTGGACCGTGGATGCAAGTGATGAAAGTGATGCAAGTTGAGACACGAACTTAATTTCGTTCACTTTTAAGAGCAATGATACAAATGAGGTCAAATAAATTTTAAGTACTAGTATACCGTAGTATATGTTTGCTTTCATAATAGGAATTAATTGATCCTATTTAAAGAACAAAAAAACTTTTCAAACTAAAAGTTGTGTTGATGTATACCGTAGTATATGTTTGCTTTCATAATAGGAATTAATTGATCCTATTTAAAGAACAAAAAAACTTTTCAAACTAAAAGTTGTGTTGATGCTTTTAATTGGATTAGTTTATGTCACAAATCTGATCAGACTAAATTGGATGAGATTTAAACAGATAGATCAAACCAGATTATAATTTGACAGTTCTATATTGCACATATACGGAGTAATATACATCTATCAAACCAATTCAAACTAGATTAGACTTAAATCGACCAAAAAATTTCAGTCCAATTAAAAACATCGTGAGTCCTATCAAAATCATGTTATATATACTCCTACTTAGAAAGCTTCTCATACTACTTTTGTCACAGATTTAGTTTTGACTTCTTACCGCAATACTTTTATGAGTTTTATCCCACCATTATTTTTAATATGTGTATGTGTGCTCGTGCACACACATATAATTTCATTTACTTTTAGCGTCTATTATTTTACTACTTTTAAAAACTAAAAATAGAAAGAATATTCATAATGTTATTTATTTAATTTCAACTAATAGTGGTAAAACTCTATTGTTACTTAGCTTTTAATGCAACTTTAGACATATTTTGTGAAATAGTTCACTCTCACTTTATTAATGCTCACATTTTTCATTGCTTCATTAAATAGGAAAAAAACTGACCAATTTGATGTCTAAGCTTTATAAACTCACCAATATGTCATTCGAGTTTTTTTTACCAATCATTCAAACTACGTACCTATTTGGCCTAGTATTGCATCATAATCAATAATCGTCATGCTTTAGCAACTTGACCACAACAACGTAATTAATGTGTGTTACCAATTCGCAATCATATGAAGGGTCTGCAACTGCACTATATTTGGAGGAAGCTGCACCAGCTGATGTGATAATCTTTGATCTAAACACAATTAAAGCAATCACAGATAACTTTTCTGCTGATAATAAACTTGGAGAAGGAGGGTTTGGTTCTGTTTTCAAGGTACATAATCACTCAATTAATATTGAATTTGTCTTTCTTGCACTTGTAATGATTGCTACTTAATCAGTAGGTTACTCTAATACTACGTATTTTGTTGCTTAATTAGTTTAATTGCTGCTTTCACTTATAGGGTAAGTTGAAAAATGGGAAACTTGTAGCTGTCAAAAGGCTCAAAACAAATTCAGATCAAGGGATAGAAGAATTCAAAAATGAAGTTATGCTGATTGCAAGACTGCAACACAGAAATCTTGTGAGGATTTTAGGATATTGCATTCAACAAAGGGAGAAGATGCTGGTCTATGAGTACATGCAAAATAATTCTCTTAATAACTGCATTTTTGGTACATGATCATATCAACTTATACATGCATTTATAATAATTTAGTTAATAGAAATTGCTCAATATAAGACTTATTTAAAATAGGATCAAATATGTTTTATTCTTCAAATAAGACTTATTCAATTCGTTCAAAAGAATGAGTTGATTAAAATTTCAAAAAATAGGAGTGAATGAGTATTATTTTGGGAATAAAACATGATAACTCTATTCATGAACTTTGTCCTTATGTTAGTCTTATTTAGGGAATGTTTTCTTTATTTAATCGTAATGTGAGAAATAACTTTACGTACTCAATAGTCATGCATGCATACAGATAATGTGTTGGGGAGTTCTCTAAACTGGAAAAGACGTTCTGAAATCATATCTGGAATTGCTCAAGGATTGTTATACCTTCATCAAGATTCGAGGCTAAAAATTATTCATAGAGATTTAAAAGCAAGTAATATTCTCTTGGATGCTTCCATGCAACCAAAAATATCTGATTTTGGAATGGCAAGAATTTTCAGAGATGAGCAAATTGAAGCGAACACAAATCAAGTTATTGGAACATAGTAAGTATCTTATACTCGTATGTGCAAGCTTGAGTGCAAAAGTTTTAAATGAATCAGATTTGATGATTATCATTTCATCTATTTCAGTGGTTATATGTCACCGGAATATGCCATGGAAGGTCACTTCTCAGTCAAATCTGATGTGTTCAGCTTCGGTGTTTTGATGCTTGAAATAGTGAGTGGAAAGAAAAACAAATATCAACACACAAGGAATTCTGTGAATTTAATAGGAGATGTAAGTCCATATTTGACCTAATATATTTTTAAAAAAATATAAAAGTTTGATTTTAATTTGTTGTACATTTTCAGGTATGGAGTTTTTGGAACGAAGAAAAGCATTGGACATTGTTGATCCATTAATAGGAAGGGGTAATTCAACTGATATTCGAGAAATGTTGAGATGCATTCACGTTGGATTGTTGTGTGTGCAGCCGCTACCACATAACAGACCAAACGTTTCAGAAGTGATTTTTATGCTAAATAATGAAATAGAACTTCCTCGTCCTAATCCACCTGGATTTATGGTAAAACAAGGAAATATTACTCAAATGGAAGGTCGTTAAATTGTTTGAGTTTTTTAATTTTTACGGGTATATATATTAGTTACGGCCGGGAAAGTCATCGCTCGTCCAATTACAATCAAAGACACTGATTATAGAGCATGTGGATTGTCTTTCATAATAGTGAAAGTTCATTGTAAAAAATTGACTCAATTTGTGTATGGAGAACGTTTAGAAATAATGAAGAGAAAATTCCCAGTTTAGGAGTAAAACTTATTAAATATGCAAAAGTAGGACTCCTATCTAAGAGTGTAGTTTGCCATACGGAAATTATAAGTAAGGGACAAAAATGCTCTTAATGAATAGTCAAACTTATTTAGTAAAAATACAAAATAGAATAATAAACTAATTAATGCATTACACAAGTCAACAACGTATTTTTCCTTCCTCAACCACAACTTATCGCCGGCACCATCCAAGGGCAGTACCTGCACCAGTAACCGTCGCCCCTAACCACCGCCCTATGCCGCCACTTGACGCTGCCGCCAGATGCCGGACGTTGCCGCCGCCGGACGCCGCCAATCCATGCCGTCGCTGGACACCGCCAGTCTTCACCGTCGTCGGACGCCGCCGGTCTCCGCTGTCGCTTGACGCCGCCACCACCACCACCATCTTCGCCGCCATCTCCACCCCCTAGCCTCAGATCTGAAAATTAAGAATGTTGTAGAATGACAATCTGATATTTTTTTTTTTTAATTTTTTACTCTAAAATTTTAAATTTAATGATCTGGATCTGAAAAATATATAATAATGTTTATTTTTCGAAAATGGAAAAATTATTATAAAAATGCCATGTTTTTAAATATGTTTGACAAATAATGCCATTTTACATTTATAAATGTTTTTCAATATGTTTGGCAAATAATGTCATTTTACATTTATGAAGTCAACATTAATTTCGTAAAGATGGCAATTACATGGATATGTTAGGCGAATAATGCCATGTTTTACAAATGTTCTTAATACCACAAAAACATATTGAAAAACATGACATTTTAAAATAATTTTGCCAAACATATTGAAAAACATGACATTTTAAAATAATTTTGCCATTTTTGAAAAATAAACATTATTATATATTTTTAGATCCAAATTCATTAAATTAACTTTATGTAAAAAATAAAATAAAAAGTTAAAAGAACAAACTAAAGGTGAAAGAAAAATTGAAAGAGAATTAAAAGAGAGAAGAAGCAAAAAAACTTGACAGATACGGATATAGAAAGTAAAGAAAGAAAATCAAAACTCAATTCAAAATTCAGATCTAGAAAAGAAAGAACACAACAAGTTCATGCTACAAAAATAAGGAAGAAAAGAGATTTACAGTCGACAAAAGCAAAAAAAGGCATAAGAAAAGGGGAAGAAGAAAAAGAGAAGAAGAAGGAAGAAGAAGAAAAGTAAAAGAAGAAGAAGAGTCTTACCTACGACAACCGCCATCTATTGTCCGCCGTCCGCCGTCCACCGGAGTTGGGGAGAAAAATGGAGCTCCAAACTGGATCCATGTGGAAGAAAGAGAGGATGTTTTTGTGCGTGGGAGGATGGGGAGATGGGAAAGGATGGGTTTGTGCGGTGACTGATTGGGAAAGTGTGGGTTGTGCCTGAAAACTAAGTTTGGTGCGTGTGACAATTGTGTTACGGAGAAGAATTATTCATTAAATGTGGCGAAGGTAAATCTGGAAAAAGAAACGGGCAATAAACTTTAAAGCTCCTATTTCAAGAATAAATCAACTAGAACTCTTATTTTGGAACTTTTGTATTGTTTTACTCCTATTTAGAGTAATTACTTAATAATGAATTTATGATATTAATTAATTAATTAATATTCACATTCTCAATCTCTTAGACTATACTTCGTAACGTATATATCATCATTTTTTTACTTTGTTTTGTAGTTTCACAGTTTTTTTCAACTTTCGTTGTTTCATTGTTCTTAACAATTCTATAAATGTTATTCATATTATATTTATGCTTTTGAAATATAAAATCATGACTAATTGTTTTATTCTAAGAATGTGGATGACTAACTTTATTTAATCAGTTCAAACTTCTTCTTCTTGGTCCAAAAAAAGGTGGAATCTCCCACCCCAGGAGCCCCCCATACCCCGACCCGACAGGATTTTTGGGAGGATGTTAATCACGGTGACTGAGTCGGCCCAATGATGGTAGACCTTTTACCCGTGCGCACCAGATGTCCAGCCTTATTTCAGGTTCTGTGACCTCCACACGACCGTTGCGGGTTTCGAACCTTGGTCACTTGGTCCAAATTTCCCACCACTGAACCAACTAAGCTACCCGTGCGGGTAAACTTCTTCTTCTTGTAATCTCTATCCAACTTCCGAATCCTTTTCGCCACCCTACCCGGTGCCCCACTGTCGGTAGCTGCCATCGCAAACAGCTTCCTACCACAAGAAGAGTTGCCGGAAAAAGTTCATCGGATTTTTTGTCTTTTTTCAAGTCACCACAAAAATTTCATCAGAAACTTTTTGTTTTGTTTTAAGTTGTTGAAAATTTTTCTGATGGCCATAGTTACATCGTTCCGAAAGGTGGAATCTCCCACCCCAGGAGCCCCCACCCCGACCCGACAGGATGGTGGGGAGGTTAGTCACGGTGACTCAGTCAACAGAATGACAGTAGACCTATACACCCGTGCGGGTCCAGCTTTATTTCAGGTTCTGTGACCCCCACCCGGTCGCTGCGGGGATTCAAACCTTGATCCATTGTTCCAAATCTCTCACCACTCGACCAACTGAGCTACCCGTGGAGGTTAGTTACATATTTCAGAGAGTAGTGATACAAGTGACTGACGTTTGTGACACTGCTGAGCGACCATGATACCAATAGTAATTAGTAATGACATGGTAAATTGAGATTGACGTAAAAACTATCAGTGACATGGATAACATTCCAATTATTTAGTCACAATTTTACCGATTAAAAGTGATCAGTTTGTTAAATTGAGCTTCAATATAGTAATATTTAAAATAAATACATTTACAAATGCAACGAACTTCATTTATACCAACAAAAACTTAACCACATTTACACCACAATTTATAAGAGCATCTTCAATGCTACAATGTGCACAGTGCACATGTGGCATGGGAGAGATAGAAACAAAATATTGATTTTATAACATTTATCTATCATTCTTTTCATGGTCTTATGTGTTTTTGGTAAGTTTTTGTCTGTAATGTCACTTTATGTGTTTTAAGGAGAGAGATATTTTATTTATTGTTTTTTAATTGGTTATTTCTCATGCCACGTATGCACGGTTAACGTTTTAACATTGGAGATTTAAATATATAACACAAACCGTTTTGAAGCTTTAATGGCCAAATTGACGTTTCATTATCAGTTAATAAAAGTCATTGATTGTAGTGTAGCTACTTGGAGATGGTTTTCAAACGTACGTTAGGGGTAAAACAATCCCTCCTTTTTACTCGAACGAAAAGGAAGTATGAATGTATAAACATTTGACGATTTCTAAACTATTTATTGTAACTGCAGAATTTATCGCTGGAGAAAACTATATATAAAATGAAATGCTAGTAGTTGTCATTGAAGAAGGGTGACAAAATTAAAGTAATAAACAGAAGTAAAATTAGAAAAATGTCCTCTTCGTATAGTTTGTTACTCTTGAGTTTTCTTTCAATACCCCTTCTCTTCACATTCAATCTCACAATCTCCTCACCAAATATGAAGGCAAGTGATTTGATTAGCAACATTTGCTCTGTGACATTAAACTCAACATTTTGCATGGATTTTCTAAGTTCATACGATCATCCTGACATTAATTTAACCAATTGGCCCAAGAAACAATTCTATCGAGTATAACTTTTGTGCGTTTAGTATATGATGAAATTCATGTAAGAGAAATACAAACAATAAGAAATCCTGCACTGAATGATATCTACCATAACTGTGGGGTGCAATATACTTCAGCCGTCAACGGTTTGATGGAAAGCGAAATGGCTGTGCAGTCCGGTAATTACCAGAAATTACCTTCTCTTGCATTTCTTGCTTTACAAGAGACTCAATCTTGTGACAAGAACTTTACATCATCAGAAAGTGAACCATTGGATTTCAAGAATCTGTCTGAACAGGCGCAAAATGTCTGCAGCATTGTTTTGGCCATCTCTAATCACTTATTGTTCGGGAAACTTTAAATTATTTTTATAGTAAAGCCTATAAAGGTGACACTATATCACCTGGTTCTATTTTTTCATTTTTGGATGTGTTCCTATTATTGTCTCTGATATCATATTTCGTAACATTTGTGTGACTCTAATTCATTCTTACTTTATTCACACTTAATTATCAACTCATTATTAAGTGAATTATACATTATTTTTAAAATTTGGGAAAACAATCTATAGGATGCATCAAATTTTGCTGATTTTACGTTTACATAGTGCTGAATTTTCAGAAGTCATAACTTTTTACTCGTAATGAGTTATGAGGTCATAAGAATCAAATCGAAAATATTTCAGAGCTCTATACTTTCAAACTTTCAGCGGGGTCGGCTGACCACCTTGACCCCCTTGACTACGCCACTGTATATAAACCTATCTACTCCATATTACACAAGAATTGATCAAACAGTTCGTTTACTAATTTATCAATGTTATACTACGTAAAATTTGTCAGAAAATGTCTTAATAAATTGCATTAAATGGTCATTTTGGGGCAATGTTTTGAGTGGGGTCCACTTCCGATTTGGGTCGGGTCAAAGTGGTTTCGGATTGTCCATGTTAAGGGCTACAATTCGATATGTGGTACACTCAAAACGTATAACGGGTAAATGAGAAATTGATTCTCAAAGTTCACTCATTGAAATGGAGAAAACTAGGAAAAATGATGAGTTTCTAGTGTGATTTATCCCACACCGAAAAAACCCAAGGGATTTTCACCCTTTTATAAAGGGAACCCACCTAGAAGGAGTTAAGATTCCTTAGGGGAAAGGCTCTCTTCGCGTGCGAGGGGGGGGGGGGGGGTTGCCGATCAAATCTCAAAAAAGGAGAAGAAAAACCGCGACTTGAGAGCGCGGACGACCTGCGAACACGAACGTCATTCAAAGATACGATTTAA